AACCATCTGAGTCAGTAGTAAATGCTCATCACATGTTTCTTTACAGGTGATCTTAAAACTGAAGCTTGACTTTAAAGACCCAACGAAGTTTCATGTAAGTGAGTTCTTTCTCTCGTTGCGGGGGGTTGCTAGAGACGGGGCAACGTGATCGACCTTCCGTAGCCGGAGTGATGCGCATTTTACAATAAACGTCCGTTGGGTTGCTTAAGAACAAATATCGCAAATCCAACCGCAATATTTGTCAGAAAAATCGCAATTCGATTATTTCCCCAAATCGTGCAGCCCTACATGTGACACAAAAATCCTCTACATTGCTTCTATTTTCAACTGGATAAGCAAAAATAAAAAGGAGAAAACAGCCTTTTCCAATTCGCATGCTCATATTCAAGATTTACGGAATAAATGGAGACGAGAACATTTTGAAGCTGTCAGAATGTGAATCCTTTTGGCAGGTCAACTAATGAAATGGAGACTGTATGGATTACAGTGCAGTACCCGTTGGTAATTTACAGCGTCACATTGTTAGTTTCTAGTCAACAACTCTTTGAACATAAATGTGTTTATGTAAGGGGGTTCATCTCTGCTGGGGAACCGTTGGCATGTTATGTATGAAACATGCTACAAAGTTGATGACATGAACACTTGGAGAATCCCACAGTTGACTGTGTTGAATAAATATGTTGCCACCTCTGACTCGCTCGCACAGACGGTCAGAGTTCTGAGGAGCTGTGGTTAGCGTGTTGTCTGGAGGAGGGGAAAAAACAGTGTAAAGATTTTACAGCCATTTTCTTGGCAACAGACACTGGCATGTCTGAGTCCAGAGGGTCCCGTGAAATGACTTGGCTTCACTGGAGCACTGATTCAATCTCCCTAATGGGCATGGAAGGCCTCCAAACGTGCCTGCAGATGAAGGAAAGGAGACAAAGTGCGTGGGGATGACGGCAGGCAGGCATGGAGTCTCAGATCTGCAGAATGATCAGAGGGTGTGCGCTCTGACGGGATGTTGTGTGTTCACACAGTTTTCCAGGATGAGCAACAATTGGTTTTAGTGAGCTCCTCTGCTTGCTGCTTGACGTGTACTAAATCCAAACTCTCCTTCTATTCTCATCTGGTGCAGATTATTACTGAGACAGAGTTCAGTGAGAGACTTTTTTGTTAGTTTAGCTGCAAAACAGAAAACTTACTATTTATTATACTCGATAAGTTGGGTTACAGTAGGACCTGGTTTTCCATAACCATTTGTGCACGTGTCTTAGCCATAGACTGTATATTAGGGTTAGGGTCTTAGCACAGTTGTATTTAGTTAGAAGGGTAATTAGACGGCTGTTTTCTTATTCCTATCACTTATTCTAATCCTATAATACTCATTAAGTATTATACTGTACATTTCAAGGAATACTCTGGTTTAATTAGTAATATTACACCACTATATACATTGTAATATTCACATTATTAAGTATTTATTGTTGTTATATATTGTAGTACAATGTGCACATTTTTTCCAACGTATCTATTGCACTTTTAACTTGAACTTAGTTTATTTGAATGTTTATTCTATTGTAAAATGGAGCACTTTTCATGAAACCAAACACAACCCAGGATTAAATATAAAACATTTAAAAAAATTAAAAAAAGATTCTGCAAAGTTGAAATTCGACCCAGAAGTTGAAATGTAAATCTAACGCTAATAACACACACTGTGCTCTGCAGGCGTACACCAGCCAGTTCGTGGCCCTCATCATGTTTGCGCTGTTGATGAGCGACGACAGGATTTCCATGCAGCCCCGACGCCGAGAGATAATCCAGGGCCTGAGAGTCCTCCCAGGTAAATGAAGCCAAGACACGGAAGTCCTGATCACATGTGAGATCAAAATGTATAGGGATAGAAAGCCAGCCCTCCGAGCAGAGATCAAGTGAACCCAAAGCATGGTTCATATTTGTTTATACAATCCTCTTGGATGAGGAAGTGATGCGATGAGAGCGGGATCAGGGGAAGAGAGCGCTGTAGGCTGTGGCTTCTCTGGATCTAAAGCATATGATAGAATCTCCCTCATTGTGACATTATGAGTTCCAGCATTTGATGGGAGCAGCATGTTGACAGTAAGACAGTTGCAGTGTTAATTTTGGCAGCTGTTTTTGATTTAGTATTTAGACGAAAATGGTTATTAGTTTTAGTCACTTTTTAGTCATTCCTATCCTTCGTAGTTTTAGTTGACAAAAACTCAAAACGTTTTAGTCGATGGAAAAATTACATTTTAGTCAACTTTTAGTCAAAATGTGTCTCTATACTCTCTGAACGCTCCGTCCCCGGCAGATCTCTGTGTCCGCTGCAGCATGTCTGTTAGGCCCCGCCCCCCGCACACAGAGAGACACAGGGAGATCGCTCTTCTGGAGTGAAGAGAGCGGAAATAATGATATTGCAAGTTAGAAACGTAAGATGTATTTTGACAGACAAGATGGACACTTGGGGGAAAATATGCTGCATTTTGAATGTCCGATAGTCCACCATTAACACCTTAGTCCCGTCTCCTTCAACGAAAACTAAATATACATTTCGTCATAGTTTTCGTTATCAAGAATCTATTTTTAGCTCGTCATCGTCTCGTCTTAGTCATGTAAAAAAAGGTCGTTGACGAACGTTTTTCGTCATAGTTTTCGATGACGAAATGAACACTGGACAGTTGACATCATCACATGGTAGGATTTGGCCACATTTCAAATCCACAATTGCATATTTGTTCTGGTCATGTCTCTTACAGATCTGATAAAGGACGTGCTGGCTCTGGATGATGAGATCCAGAAGCTGGCGATGGAGCTGTACGAGCAGAAGAGTGTGCTGATCATGGGCCGAGGCTACCATTACGCCACCTGCCTGGAAGGAGCTCTGGTGAGAACACACATCCTCCTCTCTCTGAATGCTGTCCCTTAAGGGCTTCATAAAAGTTATATTTAACTGCAGGAAATATTTTTGCCTTTTTCTTTAAACTAAGAAACCAAAGAATGTAGATATCTAATATTGGAGATCATTGTTTTGAATATGCATCTTAATCTTAGAAAACTAGGGTTCATACCGATAGTTGGGTCTTAATGTGTACATATGTATAAATGTGTCTTTAGATTGTGTGTGTATATATATATATATATATTTCGTATTCGGGATTAAGGGAAACGGTATTTCGATCTCTCTCTCTCTGCACACACAAACTGAAAGATTGACAATAAAGTTGACTTTGAGATGGACTGAGTTTTGTGGTTTTACCTAAGCGTAGATTGACTCAACCCGTGTTTTTTTCCATTATTCTGCTTAGAAAATCAAGGAGATCACGTACATGCATTCAGAGGGCATCATGGCTGGAGAGCTGAAGCACGGCCCCCTGGCTCTGGTGGATAAACTCATGCCGGTTATCATGATCATCATGAGGGACCACACCTACAACAAATGTCAGAACGCACTGCAGCAGATTGTTGCCCGCCAGGTAAGAACTCCACACACCTCAACGAATCAGATGTTACGAGTGGATGCCTGCACAATTTCCCAGTTTGCGATTATATACATCTTGTACACCTCTTATATATTTACAAAATAAGGATACAAAGAATATAGGAAATATTAAAACAAAGGTATTACATTTGACTTCAGGATTCACTCAGTGAAATGCTCTGGAAACAAACATCTAATCTATTACGGTTAACAAATGAACGATACATTTTGGGAACGGATCTACATTTTATTCCGATTTTACAAGAATGTTTTTTTTTGTGCCGTCATCGTGACTGAGAAAATCTGAAGAATATATAATTGTGTATTAAAAACACGTACAGATGTAATGATATCTGTTTTGATGTCCTTTTTGTCTATTCATACACCTTGACCACTCACATTTCTCCTATTGGGATAATCAAATGTACCTTGACATTGAATATTAACTAAAAGTAGTTCTTAATACATCAAGATTTAGTTCATATTCAATCAAAAACAATCCAGATTTAAATATACTGTTGCAATGTCCAGTGATCGACCTTGCAAATTGTTTAAAAACTCACATTTTCAAACATCGAAATCTAATCTGTGATACCGTCATTGTTATTGAGAACATCTAAAGCGTCCCGTATTAAAACCTTAACTCTCTGAACCCTTGATGACCGCAGCACATTTAGCATGTCAGGTTAATTTCCACAGTCCTGTCCTGCGTCACACCCCCGATCCTTCACCTCAATAAACACAAGGGAGGGGTCCAGCGTGACATCACCGCTGTTGGTAATCTGCAGCAGATGTGGCTTTAAGAGGTGTTAAAATCAGCTGACATCGCTGGAAGAAGGAGGGTGGTTTTTTACAGATCCAAGTTTAGGACCACGTTGACGTTCATTTGCTTTGTTTGATTTCCAGGGCCGCCCCATCGTGATCTGCGACAAAGACGATTACGAGACGGCGAAGAACTCGAGCCGCACCATCAAAGTGCCGCACTGCGTGGACTGCCTGCAGGGCGTCCTGAGCGTCATCCCGCTGCAGCTGCTGTCCTTCCACCTGGCCGTGCTCCGAGGATACGACGTGAGTACTGGCTCTGAGTGTCCTGACTGTTCCGACGGATGATCAAGGTTCAAGGCTTTTATTGGTCATACGTACATAGCTACAGTGTAGTTATGACGATGAGAATCTTAGGTCACAGGCTCCCCCAACAGTGCAACACAGAAAAAACTGAAAAAATACTGCAAGTAAATACAACAAGTAAAAATAGTGCAATAAGAGTCTATCTACAAGTGATTGGAATATGATATATTACATAAATCATTTCTAAATTGCAGCCAGATGAATGTTATGTTATGGATGTTGTTTAAAAAGTTTAGGTGTTTAATAGTTGAGATGTTTTACCTCATCTGTAGGGAGGTGTACCGAGCCCCGGGGCTGAATTATTAAAGACCGCGGTACCGTGAAGCTCCGACGTTATCTGTCTTTTTATCGGTACTGGAGACATTTAAAAAATATGCATTATGTATTATTGCTACACAAACATTATATTGCAGTTTTAGTTTCGCTATCTCCTTTTCTAATACGCAAAAAGACTGCAAAATGCGTCTATGATTATTTTTTTGTATTCCGATCTTTCCAATCCAGAAGAGAGATCTCTCTCCCCCATCTGTGTGCGAAGGGGCGGGGCCGTTTACACACACGCAGCTGCTACACACACACACACACGCACGCACGGCGGAGAGAACGTGCTCCGAGGTGTGGTTAAACTTTACCCGTCTCGAGGTGGACAATGCTCGTAGCAATAAGAGTTTAGCATGTAAGGGCGGTAACACGAGCTATTTGTCTAAACCAGGGGTGGCAAACTCAATTTCCTCGCGGGCCACATTAGAATTATGGTTGCACTCAAAGGGCCGGTGGTGACTTCAAGACTATATAAATATATAATATATATAAAATAATGTATTATTTTACAATATTTCCTCTGCATTGGATTATTATCTAGGTTAATAACTTCATAATTAACTACGTCTGAAAGCAGAAGTCTAGGGCAAATAATTGCAAGTCTCTTC